ATATATATATATATATATATATATATTTTGACATTCCCAGAATAAGAGATAAAGCCAGGCTCATGCACCAGAGTCTCGGTTTAGTTAAACATGCCTCTGATTTTATTCCTGCAGCTTCATCACGTCAGGTGTAAATAATAAAGGTAAATGCAGGTCTGCAGTTTTCTTCCAGAGACCATGAGGTTGATCACAGATTCATTGATTCAGCAACAATAGCAGATTAACTAAATGCTCAAACAGACTAAAATACACATTCTAACCGCTTCTATGAAGTAAATGCTACAATTTATGGATTTATTTTATACAATTCTCAAATGAACAACTGTTGACCTAAAAATTAGCAATGGAAGCAAGAATGGAAACATATGCAGATCTCACAGTTTATAGATTTATATTAGATTTTCTCTTAATATTCAGTCTGTCTCAGGTTTAGTTGTCTAAATCTTAACCTTTAATGCAGGAAACTCTGGATCAAACCCTGAAAATTTCAGGAAAATTTTCTATAATATGGTCTATAAGATTTCTGTTTTGTTACAATATTAAAAATCCCCTCCATGTGCTCCAGAGGGATGTTATCTCTCAATGTGTGTTCAAGCATAACAACAACATGAAGGAATCCTGTATTAAAAATGTTAAAAAGTAGTCCAGTTTTTAGAACCCTTACTCCATGTATTTCTGTTTTCCTGGGGCTTATGAAGGTTATAAGATGTGTGTATCTCCTCTTATTGCTAAATACAGTCCTCTATTAATGCAGCAAATAGTGTCTTTGCTCAGACTTTCAGCACCTCCTGCTGCCTACAGGAACAAACTACTAGCAGAACATCTGAGTTAAACACAGATCATCTTTTCGATGATGAAGTCATGAATTTCCAGACCCAGCAGTCTGCACTGGTAGCAGATGTCATCCCCAGAAAGGCAGTAAAGCTCATGGAGGTAATTGGTGCGAAATTCATGTGCTTTTGTCTAATTCTTTCACCACAACAATAGTCTAAGAAAGACCTTTCTGTCAAACGTGGAAAAACAGCTGTTCGCTAAAACAAACAAAAAAAAACAACAAAATAAAAACAGCAAACATTAATGATGACCACATAGAAAATTATAGAGTTAATAAATATTGGAGGAGTGTTGGCCTAGTGGGTTAGAGCAGTGTGTTTGTGCCCTGAGAAGGTTGCAAGTATGTAGTTCAACCCCCACAGCCTCCACTCTGGGTTCCTGAGCAAAACCCTTAAGCCCTGATTGCTCCCCAGGCGCCACACAATGGCAGCCCACCCATCCCCAAGGGGATGGGCCAACATGCACAGAGTGAATTTACTTATTGTGGGACATTAAAGGGATTTATATTACATGATATGCGCCAAAATTATAGTTAGAATAATGAGATAAGTTAATATAAAAGAATATATATTAGACACTTTTAATGTAGACTTTATGGCTACCGAGTCATAGGAAGGGCTACCAATACTGACCTATGAACTGGAGGGATCAGTGTTCACCTACAGTAAATCTNTGGTGGAGGATTGTCTGTTCCTGGTTGGGTTGTTTTAAACTGTTTGCTTCCAGGTTGCGTGGTTGTTTTAACCTTCCCTCCTGAAATGAAAAACGCAGCAGAATAATCAAAACTGTTTTTATTTCAGTTTTTTTCATTGCATCAAAATATTATAGATAAAACTATATTGGATGATTTGATAATTTACAAAAATTTATGTATAAATAAATTTGAAAACAATCCAAATATTTAAAAAAATCTTGAAGTTAATCCTAGTTTCCTGTGATGTCAGTGATCTTCTACAGTTCATCATCTTCTAACCTGTTTCTCACTTTAGTTTTTAGGTAACAGAGAGTAACTTTACGATATTTTCTCAACTTGTCAAAATAAGACCAACTCTGAAGGACAATTGTTCTAAATCCATCAAAGCTCTAAAATGTCCAGCCTATGGAGGATGAAGTGACTTTTATGAACATTGATGATGTCTTTTAAAACTGTGATTCTCATTTATCTCAAAAAATTATCTTTCAGAAAGATGTATTTCTGATTTTTATCAGTCAGAACTCTCATTCCTAACTCTCCATGTGATGATCACCACATTATATATAAAGATGACTGAAATAACAACATGATAACAGGAGCTAAAGACAAACCACTCATATATTCATAACTGAGTATAATTGGGCCAAACCTTGATTTGTTGTGTCAGAAGTTCTCCTGCTCCCAACTGTTTGCTTTGGGTCCTTGTTTCCGGGAGTGGCTTCATTTGTTCAGTTTACAGGGAAAATAAGAAACAAAGTTGCAAAATATTTTGCAATGAAATGGATTATATTGTCTTTTAAATGTAAAGGTTTAATTTATAAGTAAAGTTTTTATCAGAATTTTTTATTAAATCTTATTTCATGTCTTTATTCCCTCATTTTAGAAACAAAAAAGCCCAAAATGTGCAGATTATAATATACATCATACGATCATGATTTTGAAATATACTAAAACATTAGAACAATCACTACCTTGAAAGGTTGGTGAAACATTTTTGGTTTCTGGTCTGGTTGTCTTTGAGTTTTTGTTTCCAGGTTTGTTTGTTGGTTGAACTTTTCCTCCTGATTTTTCTGGAAACAAGAACAAAGTGTCAGAAACTAAAACTGTTCATATGGTAGTCTTTAAAACTTCTTTCTTCAGTTCATCATCTTCTAACCTGTTTCTCACCTGAGGACTGAAGACTGAAGGTAAACTCTTCCTTAGCAACAGTATCAGTCACTTTACACTGAGGGAACTCAGACCCTGATGATAAAGAGACAATAGCAGAGCAGCCAGTCTCTGATGGTGGTTCTTTGTTGTCCACATCCTGATTAAACCACTTCACT